ACGAACGCCCCATCCCAGACTACTTGTTTCACTGAGTGCCCCGCCCGCCAGGCTGGCGTCGTCGGTGATTGGGGTAAATGTTGCCCCCACCCTTGTGCCCTCACAGAGTGAAGATTTCAGTGAATAGCCCGCCCGCCCGCCTGAAAGTCCCATGACTGAGTGAAGGTTTCATTTGGTGCCCCGCCGCCCGACACGAGTCCTCAGCGGTTGTGGTTCATTTTCCCCCACACTGTTGCATCGCAGAGTGGAAGTTGCATTCGATGTCCCGCCCGCCCGACCGGTGCCTTCGGTGGTTGCGGTATATGTTTCCCTCAACCATGTACCATCACCACGAATAGCGGTACATTGAATGTCCCGCCCGCCCAACCGACCGAACGCCCCACCGTTGAGTGCAGATTGTATTTAATGTCCCGCCCGCCGGACCAGCGTCTTTGGTGGTTGTGGTAGATTTCCCCCCAACCTTATCCCATGACGGAGTGAAGATTTTATTTAATCGCTTCGCTCATTCCGCCGGCCCATACATACAGTCTCATGTCTGCCGTTTGCCCGAGGGCATGGTGTCCATGCGGCGCTTTGGGGGTTCCTGGGGCCGCTTGGGGGTCTCCTGGGGCGCTCGGGGGGGCATTTGGGGGGCCTCCTGGGGCCGCTTGGGGGACTCTTGGGGGCCTCCTGAGGGCCTCGTGGGGGCTTCTTGGGGCCTCTTAGGAGCCTTTTGGGGCCTCGTAGGGGCTTCTTAGGGCCGAGGGCTCGAAATGTTGTTTCGTGTTCCCTGTCTGGGGCCCCTGTGGGGGCGTTCTTGGGGCCCTCTTGGACCGTCTTGGAGGCTTCTTGGGCTGTCTTCGAGCCCTCTTGGGCCATCTTGGGGCCCTCTTGGGGGCCTCTTGGGCCCTCTTGGGGCGATCTTGGGGGCCTCTTGGGCCGTCTTGGGGCGTCGGGAAGCCGAAAAGGTGGAAGCTCCAAAATCTTTCAAAAACCTAAGGAAAAACAATGAATTTTGCCTCCGGGGGCCCTCTTGGGAGTGCTCTTGGAGGCCTCTTGGGGCGTCTGGGGGCTATCTTGGGCGTCTTGGAGCGATCTTGTGGCATGTCGGACCCCTCGTGTACCATCTTGGGGGCCTCTTGGGGGCCTCTTGGCCTTTCTTGGGGCTCTCGGGGACGTCTCGGAGCCCTGTTGGTGCGCTCATGGAGCGCTCCTGGAGCGCTCTGGGGGAGTCTCCCGGGGATCGGTCGGGGATCGCCCGGGGTACTTTTCGTCCGGGGACCCCCAGGGGCCGCCCCGCGCGCGCGAACTAGAGAATTGTTAACCAGTTACCGGAGATCTTAGCACGCCTCTGGCCCGTTGGGCCGGCGAATTTAACGCCCCGCCCGCCAGACACGAGTCCTCGGTGGTTGTGCTACAGTTCCCCCCAACCATGTCCCATCATAGATGGGACATCACATTTCATGCCCGCCCGCCCGTCCAACTGAACGCCCCATCCTTGATTGAAGATTGCATTAAATGCCCCGCCCGCCCGATCGGAGTCTTCCGGGGTTCTGGCATTTACGTACTTTCCCCAACCCAACCTTATACCATCACAATGAGGAGCATTACATTTCATGTCCCGCCCGTCCAACCTAGCGAACGCCCCACCACTGGGTGAAGATTGCATTTAATGTCCCCCACGCCCAACCGGCGTCTTCGGCGGATGCATCAGGTTTCTCCCCAATGTTGTCTCATCAGAAAGTGAAGGTTACCTTAAATGTCCCGTCCGTCGCCATCGCCGTCGTGGTGCCGGACCCGGGGGGGGGGCACCTTCAAATTCCCCCAGGATCCGAACCCGGGCGGGCGCCCCCCCCGTCCAGAGTCGACGATGGCAGACGGTGACGACCGGCCGCTTCGACAACGGACGCGGACGAGGTCGACGACGGCGGTGGCGACAACCGACGACGACGATGACGACGACGACGGCGAGAGCGCCGTCTCTGAGTTTGGAGGCCTGTGTGTTCACAGAGTGCAGATTACATTTAAAGGCCCGCCCGACCGAACGCCCCATCCCGGAGTGATGGTTCCATTTCGTGTCCTGCCCGCCAGACTGGCGTCGCTGGTGGTTGTGGTAGATTTTGCCCCCGCCTTCGTACCCGCACAGCTTGAAGATTAGCCCGAAAGTCCCATGATTGAGTGAAGATTTCGTTTCACGCCCCGTCCGCCCGACACGAGTCTTCGGCGGTTGTGCACTCCCCCCCGCCATGTCCCACCGCAGATTGGAAGATACATTTCATATCCCGCCCGCCCGCTCGACTGACCGTCGACTGTCCCATCCCTGAATGAGGATGGAATTGAATGTCCCGCCCGCCCGGCCGGTGTCTGCGGTGGTTGTGGTACATATTCTTGACGTTTCGCGTATCCCCACCATGTGTCATGTCCTACACGCCCTCAGCGGTCACTTGTCAGCTTCGCTGTCTGTGACCTTGCCGCGCCATTTCGGCTGCGGATAGCTCCTTGGTTCAATTTGTGCATCGGCACTGCCCCTGGATCCTGGTCTTGGTTGCCGTTAGCATCGCCCGTCGGCAATGTTTCGGGCCCTGCCCCGCTTCCTGGCACCACCTCGCGCAGCCCGGCGGCTTAGGCAGCTTAGGCAGCTTAGGTTCGGTTGTCGGCCCCCGTGCGCCAGGCAATTAGGTTCCCGCGTAGCCCGCCCGACCTCTGACGCTGCTGGCACGCTCGCCTGCGGCCGCGACGAAAAAAATCCCCACCATCCCATCCAGAAACGATACCCAGGCGAGTAGAAGTGCTGTTGTGAGACGTGCTCGAAGGTCTCTTGGAGCCATCTTGGCGTTGCAGGAGCGGTCAAGACCGCCGCAAAATGCAGCTAATATAGTTTCACACTCACAGAACTTGAGACGCCTCGAGCCACCTTGGGACTCCCTTGGGCCCTCTTGGGGCACCTTGGGGCGGTCTGGGAAGCCTTTTGGGGCAGTCTTGGAGCCCACGGCTTAACAAAAAAGGGTTTCTCAATTCAGGCCCCCCCCCTCGGAGGTTCAACAAAAAAACGTATTGGGCCCCTCTTGGGCCGCTCTTGGAACGGTTTTGGGCGCTCTTGGGGCCGTCTTGGAGCCCTCTTGGGCCTCTCTTGGGGTTCTCTTGGGTGATCCTGGGGCCATCTTGAGGCTTGAAAACGCAATCGGAAGCGAAAAGGCGAGAATGCAAACAACATAGATGTTTTTTAGGTTCTGGAGCCATTTTGGCCTTTGGGGGGGGCCCTTGGAGGGCTCGGAGGGCACTTGAAACCGTCCTGGGGTCGTTTTTAGCTTTCTTGGATGTGCGTCGGAGGCTATCTTGGGCCACTATCTTGAGCCATCTTGGAGGCCGCCTGAGGCTTTGCGAGGCCCTCTTGGAGCTATTTTGGACCACAAGGGACGCTCTGCCACATCGCGCCCCCCCTCCCCTCCGGACCCATGGGGGGGTAAACCTTTCCGAATAGGGGGAGGAAGGAGGTTGGAAAAGAAAACGCTTTAGACCACCTGTGCCTTAAAGGGCTGGTGGGGTTCCCCCCAACCTCGTGCCATCACAACGAAGCGCGTTACATTTGATGGCCCGCCCGCCCAGCCGACCGAACGCCCCACCATTGAGCGAAGACTCCATTTAATGTCCCCCCCGCCCGACCAACGTTTTCGGCGGTTGCGAAAGAGTTCTCCCCAACCTTGTCCCATCAAAGAGCGAATGTTTCATTTAATGTCCCGCCCATGGCTGTCGTAGTCGTGGTCGTGATCGTCGTCGTCGTCGTCATCGTCATGGTCGTCGTCGTTTCGTCGCCCGCGGCGCACGCTCGACTATCTATCTCTGTCGCTCGTCGTCGTCGCCGCCCTTGGCGTTGTTGTCGTTGTACATGACAGACACACCCCGGACACACCCCGGACACACCCCGAACACGCCGGACACGCAGGACACGCCAGACACCCCAGACAGCCTGGACAGCCCAGACATTCCGGACACCCCGGACACCCCGGACACCCCGGACACCCCGGACACCCGGGGGCCCCGACACGCCGGACGCGCCGGACATGCGGACACGCTGGACATCCCGGACACCCCGGACTCCCAGGACACCCGGGGTCGACATCCCGGACACCCCGGACATGCCGGACACGCCAGACGCCCCAGACAATCCCTGGACAGTCCCCAGACACCGGACACAGAGGACTACCCAGAGCTTCGCGAACACCAGAATCCAGTGTCGAGACCTATCTTTGCGCGAAGATATAAAATTTAGGTTTCTCAAAAAGAAACCTAAAGTTTAGGTTTTTCACTGAATTTTAGATTTTGCGTTGTTTTTTTTTTGGTGTGATTTTGAGCGCTTGAGCATTATTATTATACATATATAATATATATATATAATATATATATAATATTATATATATATAATATATATATATATATGTGATATATTTATACATATATATCATACATATGTTATATATATTATATATATATATATATATAAAAACCTCATCCTCCTCCTCCTCCCCCTCCTCCTCATCCTCATCCTAAGCTCAGCCGCCCCTTATGCCCCAATCCTCCTGCTACCTCCTCCTTTCGGACCAGGGATACAAAAATCGAAATTGGAAATCGAGCCTTTGAGAGATTTTGAGAGCCCATTGCGTTGCATCCTCGGCGTATCCTTGGGAACCCCGTGTTGCGCTGATTTGCTCACCCGCCCCTTATACCCCAATCCTCCTGCTACCTTGGTATCGTAGGACACTTGTGATGATATGCGTGTTGCCCCGTGTACTTTGAGAGCCCTTGCATTCTTGCGTCCTCGGCATATCCTTGGGAAGTCCCGTTGGCAGCCCTGCTGGAAATTCACTTGGTCGCCCCAAGGGTTAGCGTCCTTACCGATCACGCGTCCGCGCTGTGGCTAAAGCCAGTGCCCTCGGTCATCCTCAGCGTTTCGGCTTGGATCCTCTTTCTCAGGGAAAATGGCCAAAACCCGCGGAGCAAACTGGAATGGAGCTCTCAGTGAGATGGTGGCTTTCCTGACTTCTGTGCTTGTTGGGGAAGGCGGTGCTCCGAAATCCCTGGCCTACAGCCCCAGCTTCGAAGACCCAGTGGACATCGATGAGCTCTCGAAGCTCGTCCCCGTCCTGAAGGCTGCTCGAGAGTTGCAGGACGACCTCTTGATAAGGTCCCCCCCCCATGGAAACCTTACTAACACAGGACAGACAGGAGGATGAGCAGGAGGAGCAGGAGGAGCAGGAGGAGGGAGACGGGGAGGAGAAGGAGGAGGCGGAGGAGGAGGCAAGATGAGGGGAGGGAGGAGGAGAAGGATCAGGAGAAGGAGAAGGAGGAGGAGTAGGGAGGAAGAGGAGGAGGAGGAGGAGGTGGAGGAGGAGATCGCCCAACACAGGTACAACGACATCAAGGAGGGGATCATGAGCCTCATATTCGACAAGAAGCTGGTGCTCGACGCGAGCGTGTACAAAACGAAGGCCCGAGAGGAGGAGAGGAGGAGGACGAGGAGGAGGAGGAGGAGAAAAAGGAGGAGGAGAAGGATGAGGGAGGATGAGGGGGAGGATGGGGGAGGATGGGGGAGGGGGAGGGTGAGAATAAGGGGGAGGAGGAGGGTGAGGAGGAGGAGGAGGAGGATCGAGGTGGAGAAGCATGAGGAGAGGGAGGAGGAGGTGGAGGAGGAGGAGGAGGAGGCGGAGGAGGAAGAGGAGGAGGAGGAGAGGGGGGAGAAGAAGAGGAGGAGGAGGAGACGAAGGAGTGAAGGAGAATGACGATGAGAAAAAGGAGGGGACTGGAAGCGGAATCCCTCCAGAGGCCCTCAAGAAGCAGTGGGCGGAGGAGCAGGCGGAGATCCTCCGCGTCGCGCTCCGCCACGTCAGGCGCGCGTGGTACCGCAAGGTATCGCCCGACGCCCACCCGTACTTGTCGGAGCTCCCAGCGCCGCAGAGGACACTGGGAGCAAATTCAAGGGGTAGAGTAGTAGTAGTCGTAGTAGTCGTAGTAGTCGTAGCAGCAGTAGTAGTAGTAGTAGTAGTAGTAGTAGTAGTAGTAGTAGTAGTAGTAGTAGTAGTGGCAGCAGCAGTAGCAGCAGCAGAAGTAAGAGCAGCATTAGGAGTAGTATTAGGATTGGAGGAGGAGGAGGAGAAGGATGATATGTAGACGAAGGGGTAGTAGCAGTGGTAGTAGCAGTAGAAGAAGTACAGTATAACCATATAGTAGCAGTAGCATTAGTTGTGGCAGTAATTGTCGTAGTAGCAATAGCCAATCGGTAACAGTAGCAGTACATGGTGTTAATAGTAGCAGTAGTAGCAGTAGCAGTAGCAGTAGTAGTAGTAGTAGTAGTAGTAGTAGTAGTAGTAGTAGTAGTAGTAGTAGTAGTAGTCGTATTAGCAGCAGCAGTAAGTACAGGGAGTAGGAGTAGGAGGAGTAGGAATATGATCACCCGTAGGAGTAATAGTTCCTGAAAAGCAACATCGGTAGTAGTGACAATAATCTTAGAGCGCAAACGTAGATGTACTACAAACGTAGTAGGATAGCAGCAGCGGCAGCAGCAGCAGTAGTTACTGTAGTAGTAGCAATAGTACTAGAAGTAGAAGTAGGTCAGTAGCAGTAGCAGCAGTAACCGTACTAGTACCATCAGCAAACACAGTAGCGCCATCAGAAGCAACAGTAGGGATAGAAATAGCAGTAGCAACCACTGTATCAATAGCAGTAGTAGGTGTAGTACGTAGTAGTGGTAGTTGTCGTAGTAGTAGCCACGTCTACATCCACGTCTGCTACTATACCCCGACCACTGCCACTGCCACTGCTCCTCCTCCCCCTACCTCCCCCCCCCCTGCCCCTTCCTCACTCCCCCCTCTGTCTCCCCTGCTCCTCCTCCCCATCCTCCTCCTCATCCTCCTCCTCCCGACCCTCCTCCTCATTTTTTTTTGTTGTAAATGCCAGCCCGCAGTCAGGACGCCGGCCAGCGCTGCGGCTTCACCAGCGTTGCCTGATTTCGAGACGCCGCCGAAGACGTCGGCCATCTCGTGGGGCGCGAGCTTCGACGACTTCGCCGTCCTGGAGGGTAGCACGCCAGAGGCCCAGGCTGCGCGAGATGCCGATCCAGATGATGACGATGTGGAGCTCGTGGAAGCGCCTCCGCGGTTCGTCCCGATGATCGAGCTCGAAAGCGAGGACGACGGTGACGGCGAGGTGCTTGGCCCGACGGCGTCCACTGAGTACGAGCCCCTAGCAGACGTGGACGACACGTGGGTTTACCACTTCGACCAGGACGCGTTCAAGTGCTACCGCGCCTCGTGCACAGATGCTGGCGTGGTTACGAAGCCTGTCGAGGAGGCGAAGCGCATCGTTGCCCCGTTCTACGGCAGTCAGCTGGTCGCGCTCTTCGCGGACGGCACCGAGAGAAAGGTGGGGAGGATAAGGAGGATGAAGAGGAGAAGGAGGAGGGGGGTGGAGGAGGAGGAGGAGGAGGAAGAGGAGCAGGGGAGGAGGGGGAGGAGGAGGAGGAGAAGGAGGGACGAGGAGGGAGGAGGAGGAAGGACGGAGGAGGAGGCAAGAGGAGGGGAATCGGAATCGGAGTCGGAGGAATCGGAGTCGGAGGAGGAGGAAGAGGAGTCGGAGGAGGAGGAAGATGAGGAGGAGGAGGAGCAGAACGAGGAGGACGAGGATGAGAGAGGTCTCATGGCCCCAAACGTCACCAAGGGTCCCCAACTTGTTTGCGCATCCACCCAGGTCCCCAAGATGATCGAAAAGGAGCAGATCAACACACTTCAGTTTTCCCGTTTCGCGGAGCTGCGCGGCCTGAATGAGTCAGCGGATAGGAACGGGACGATCGTGCAATTGCTGTCGTACAACGAGGGGAAGAAGAGGTGGAAGGCACGCGGCGACGGCAAAGAGCTGTTCTCCGTGAAGCCCGAGAACCTCGTGGCGGCGCCCAAGGTTCACCCTGATGCCCGATGCTTCGCCAAAGGCAAGGACAACTCGCAACTTCACGAGATCTGCCTGGCGACTTGGGATGCTCTCGAGTGCACGTGGCAAGTGACATATCCCCTAAAACCTGAGATGGGCGTTTGCACAGTCGACCTCAAGGACCTCTGCTGGTTCATCAAAGGTCCTGCTGACGAGCAAAAGTGCGAGAACGTGCAGCAGGTTGAAAGTCTTGCTGGCGAGTCGAAGGGCGAGAACGTGCAGCAGGTCGGGAGTCCTGCTGAGGAGCCGAAGGGCGAGGACACGGATCTGGGCAAGTGGCGGACGGATGATGCGGAGTCCATCGAGAACGGCACTGACGAGACGGGTACTCCTGACAGCGCAGAGGGTCACAGCGGCCCTGTCGCCAAGGCCAAGCCCAAAGCTAAGCCCAAAGGCAAGCCCAAAGGTAAGCCCAAAGCGAAGGGGAAAGCCAAGGGGCAAGCCAAGAAACGTGCAGCCAAACCTGACGCGGAGCCCCAGCCGAAAAAGAAGAAGCAGACGGCGGAACCGCCAGTTGCAGCAGCTCCTCCAGGTGACGGAACCGATGGGGACAGCCCGTCAGGTTCTTCGAAGTCCAAATGCCAGGACGAGGGCTACAAGGAGGGGCGCGTGTACGTGAGCATCAAGGTCTCCGATGCTATCGAGGTGCGCGCGGAGCGGCAGAAGGGCAGGTACGACTTGGTGCGGATCAACAACGTGGAGACCAAGCAGCAGCTCACAATGGTGAGCGAGTCCGTCACCTACAAGTGCTTGACGACGGCCTTCGACATCGCCAAGGAGGTCGCCACGCGCCTCACGGCTATGCAAGTCATGGGAGCCAACATCACATTCCTGTTCAGTCTCCTCCGCATCCTCCTTCTGGGACCCCCAAGAAAACAACTGGAAGATATCTCAGAGGGGGGAAATGTCCAGAGCCTCTGCCGACTTCCCTCCCGCCTTCATCCTTCCTTCGTCCTTTCCGTCTCCCCCTCCTTCTCCCCTATTCCCTCCTCCATCCGCCCGTGTCAGGCCACGTCTCGACTCGATTCGATTGATTCGACTCGATTCGATTGATTCGATCCGATTCGACTCGATTCGATTCGAGTGATTCGATTCGATTCGATTCGATTCGATTCGATTGATCGGTTCTCAGCTGGCCCTCGTGGGCCCTTGGTGCGGGGTGACAATCCCCCTGTTGAGCCCGCGGGGGAGGGGGAGGGAGGCGAGGGCAAACGGATGGGACGCAGCCCAGGTTCTACCTGAGAAGAGCGAGATCAAGGATCTCAGGGACACCGTGATCTCGACTGAGTTTGCGGGCCAGATCGAGGCCCTGCGGCTGCGAGCGACCCAGCCGCCTCAGTGGGCCAACTTGGGGCCTTGGGGTGCGAGGCCAGGCAAGCGTAGAGGGCGCACAGTTAATCGTGCCCACCAGCCCGCCCTCCTTCTCCACCTCATCCCTCCCGCTCCCAAGTCCTACACATCCTATTCATATGGTCCGAGAGCGCGAAGATGCCCCCCCCCCTCGCTCCGCGCTGTGCGGAAAGCTGGCCTCAACGCACGAGCATGTTTTAATATTGTCGGGTAGAGTCCTGACACGTTGCACGAGGGTGGGAACAGGGCTGATGCCCGACTGTGCTTCGCTGAGCCACGGACGTGGTAACTGCAGGGGTTGTCGCAGCGAACTAGAAAACAGGTCAGACTCACAGTTGCGCTGGCACCGTTGGAACCGAGCTGGTCAGTATTCTGACGTCTGTCCCGAGAGATGGGGACGGGGGGGCGAGAGGGAGAACGACGACGAGGATGAGCAGGATGAGGAGGGAATGGGGAGGAGAGGAGAGGAGGGGAGATGAGAGGAGACGAGGGGAGGGGAGCGGAGATGCGAAGAGAGGTGAGGTGATCACAGAGGGGAGGAGAGGAGAGAGGAGATGAGAGGACGGGAGAGGACATGAGGGGATGGTGGGAGGAAGGAAGGGAGACGGGAAGGAGAGGGGGGCGGGAGGGAGAGAGATGGAGGGGTCGGGGTGACCCCCCAAAGGTGAACAGAGGGGACGGGGGTTCCCACGTGGCGAGGGGTAGGGGGCGCCCCCCCCCAAAGTACAACAAAAGTACAACAAAAGTCTAACAAAAGATTAACACTGTTAAACTTTTGTTAAACTTTTGTTTAACTTTTGTTAAACTTTTGTTGTGCTTTACCGTTGTGGCGTGAGATGGTTTCGAAGACGGCGGGCTGGTGAGATCTCAGAGCCACCCCGCGCTCCCTCCACGACCCCCCGCGAACCTCCCGCCCTCCCCCGCGATTTCTCAGAGCCCCCCATGCCTCGCCGCGCCCCCCCTGAAGCGCAGACCCCCCGTGAGACGTCCGTCCTCTTCCCATCCGTCCTTGCCCCCCTCCTCCGTGGTGAAGCCGTTTTGGCGCAGTTGCTTCTCTGCAACGCTAGCTGGCCTGCCTCACGAGCGCGAGCACGCGCAACAGACTTGCTCGATGTCGTCTGCAGCCAGCTACATGACGTTCAGGCGCAAGTGTTCCGAGCAGGAGTGGGCAGACTATCAGAAGTGCAAGGGCAACATCGCCCAGCAGCAATTTCGAGCGCAATGGGCGGAAGCTCGCGTCAAGAACGCGTCGGCCACCAAGAAAAACACTCAGCAGGAGCGCATCAGTCAGGGCAAGCGGGGCTTCTATCGCCCGCGCGCCAAGATCCTCGAGGAGGAGGGCCACGACGCGGAGGGGGAGGTGGCCACGGATAACATCATCAAGAAGGCCCTCGCGAAGGGCTACCCCTTCGTGGCGTACAACGAGGATACAGAGAGGCTCGAGTACTTGCACCGCCAGCGGTACTTGGACGAGGGCTTCGACCGAACCAGGTCTCTCGAGATCCAAGGAGAGGCGGACATTCCAGAGGAGGAGCTCCAGAGCGTCTTGATGCAGGCGCAGGCGCAGGGCCTCTCCAAGCCTGACGACGGGATCCTTGAGGCGGAAAGGAAAAAAGTGGAAGCTAGATTGCGTGGTGAGGCCGCATCTTCGGTGAGCAGCGCGTGCTCTTCGCTGGCGGTGGCCGCTACGTCAGCAGAGACGGCGCCAAGCGTGGCTCCCGCTGTGCCGATTCAAGCCGCTGCCGCCGCAGTCCAGCCGGCAGCAGCGGACGCCCCCAAGGCGGTTGCAGTCACGCCTCCCTTGGCCATCAAGGAGGAGAAGCCCAAGAATCAGATCACGCTTGCCGCCGCCTTCGGGAACATCAAGAACCATAAGAGCATCGACAAGCCTACCTCCGACGTGAGCTCGGCGGCGGGTGTGACCTCGGGGTGCTCGGGGGTGTCTGAAGTTCGCCCTGAAGACTCTGCCTCTCAAGTCGGAGTCACAGAGCCGCCAATCAAGTCAGAGGATGGTGGCGAGCCCGAGCCACCCCAGAAGAAGCCCAAGAAGGCCGCCGAGGCAGACATCGCGCTCAACAAGGCGTTGAGCGACGCGAAGCAGTTCGTGCAGCAGTGCAACATCGCAGCCAAGATCATCAGTAAGTCCGCGGTGAAGGACTCCGACTGGGGCTGGGCCCAGGGCATGGTGGCGGAGCTCCAGCTTGCAGTTGATGCGACTCTTTCGACCTACTCGAAGATGAACGATGAGGTGCTCTTCTCTTCTCCTGCGAACCTGAAGTCCATGCACGGCGACGGGCTCAAGGACTGGGCCAACGCCATTCAGAAAGAGGTTGGGGTCAGCAAGGGTGTCATCGACGCCGAGGTCAACCCTTTGATGCAGATGTACAACATCAAGCTCAAGCAGAAGATCGATGCGCAGAAGCGCAGTAAGGCCGCCTCATCCCTGGCGTCTAGTGGCGGGGTCAGCGCAGCTGGCCCATAGCTACACGCGTGCAGCTTAGCTATATGTAAGCACAGCTTGTTAGAAGCAGTGCGCGCCAGAGCGATCAGCCTCCCCTCCTCCTCCTCCTCATCTTCCTCCTCCTCCTCCTCCTTCTCGTCCTCCTCCTCCACCTCCCTCTTCCTCCTCCTCCTCCTCCTCCTCCTCCTCCTCCTCATCATCATCATCATCACTCTTCTCCTCTTCCTCTTCTTGCTGTCGTGGCTGATGTTTTTACGGCTTCGGATGCTGCCACGGGGCTGCGTCCCGTTCTCTCTGTCCTGCAGCTGCCGAGCGTCGTGGGGAGATGTGCTCGAAAAGCTTTGAACTCACCAGTCTTCTTGCACGTGCTTCTCGGGATCTGAGGCCATTGGCTTGCAACGAGTACTTGTGGTCAACAGCATCGGCGGAGCTACGCGGAAGCAAGGATCCACGAGGAGGGCGAGGGTGAGGAGGAGGAGGAAGAGGAGGAGGAGGACGAGGAGGAGAACGATGAGGCGGCGGAGGAGGAGGAGGAGGGTGAGGAGAGGGTCAGGGGGAGGAAGTGGCTTCCAACGCGGGGTCAGGGGCATCTGCGGACTGACGCGAAAGCGAATAAGCACAAATGTAGTGTAGCAGCGGGCTCAGTGTAGCAATGGCAGGTATAGCAATAGCTGTAGCACGCCCCAAGACGAAAAAGATGCAGCCCTTCCGACAAGCAGCCCCAAGAAGAAGAGGGGAACACGCCCTTCTGGAAACCGACTGTGGTCTAGTTGGCCGAACCCTCATCCCCCCCGTCCTCTCTTCAAAACCGATTGTCGTCGTCGTCAGGGTTCGTGTCACGTGCAATCGCCCGTCGTCAGCATCAACAACCAACAAACACAACAATCCGTATATAGCCATTTTGGCATCGATGACGAAACGAGCTGCGGGCATCCGATTACGGAATTTACCTGCTCGGAGATCCGAGAACGTCACAAAACCAACATCCGTTGAAGCGGGAAGGTCTCGCGACGCAGGCTTGGAATATCGCAAGTACTTGTTGCGCCAGTGGTCCGTGGGCGCCAAGACTTGTAAAGAATTGTGCTCGGAGGCGTTTCTCTCTAGTCGTGCAGGCGCCGCTGAGGTCGCAGACCTCGGAGTGAACCCTGGTCATCTTGGACGCAATCACGCCAGGCATGTGCGTCAAGCTCTCGGCTTGCGAGAGTTGCGAGGGAAGTTTTACTATGTCAAGGTGCCAGTTTACGACAGGCGCTCGGCGTCTAGAGTATTTAAGTGGATACCAGTTCGTTTGCCCCATGAGGTGTTCAGTAGCATGTATGAAACGAACAGGAGCAGCATGGATTACAAAAAACAAGACCCCGACGAAGTTATGGTTCCATCGTATACTCAACACATTGTAACTCAACAGAATGGAATTGCGAACACTGTTCCGATTGGGCTCTACAGCGATGCCACTCCTGTTTACAAAGCTGGTTCTGTGCTGGTTGGCATGTGCAACGTCACGTGGCAGCGAAAAAGACATGTCATGTGGCTGTTGTTGAAAAAGCAGATGTGCCAGTGCGGCTGCAATGGCAGGTGCACTACAGATGCAGTCCAAGTAGTGATCAACAAGTCGTTGAATTGCCTTGCCGAGGGTAAACATTCGATGGTCCCCTCAACGTGTGTCAACCCAAACGTGTGTTTGGCAACCGGAGCATTCAGATGCCCACGCGGCAAACACACATTCGGCTTACACCTGTTCGGGGGACCATCGATACATATGAATGAGCGTTTCGACGGCTTGCCTTGGCGGGAGGAGGACTCCCTACGCGCCGAGAAAGCAGGCACAACTTTAGGCTTTCACGGTGCGGTTACTGAATACAGATGCGATTGGCCTGAGCATTGTGACATAGCCCGTCTAAAGCGATGGACTGCCAGATGCCCGTGTCCGAAGTGTCGGTGCCGCCTTACTAACATGCATACAGAATACAGCAGTTGCTCTTCAATTCAATTGCCTTGGGACGAACGAACAATGGATGATTATATTGATGAGCTGACAAGGCAAGTCATCACAGTAAATATTGAAACCTCAGATCAACTAAGAACACTTGTGGGAGCTTTGCGTTTCAGGAAGGCGCATCCTTGGGGAAGAGTAGTTGGCAAGCGCTTGGATGATTTTGGGCTCATCTCGGGAGATTCGCTGGTGTGCACAGAACGTATACCAGATCTGCATCGTCTCGAGGATTGTTGGCTGTGAATCAAACAACACACACTTCAAGCTTTCCAGGGGAAGTTTGAGTTTATACCTGAGGTCTCGGGGTCCGAAAATGGAACTTTGCATTCTCTCTGGGGATCCAGCTTCACGGTTTAGAAACATGTTGTTTTGTTTGGTTCACAGTCATCTCCAGGACGTATCGTTACCATGTACCGTCTTGTTCTTCCGCACGGATGACAACACAGGTATTGCAGGGGTCCCATGCATTTTTGACATCCCAGGGGTGCGCATGCAAGGAATATTCGGGCTTTCTGTGACTCATCTTGTTTTAGATGTCCTCCACGTGGTCGATTTGGGGGTAACGCAATGTTGGGCTGGTGCGTGCTTGACAGAGATGCTCCGTTCAAACATTTATGGGGTAGAGGACGCACTAGCGGATGATCGCTTAGCCTCGGGACTTCTTGTCATGAAATCTCGGTTGCGCAGGTGGTATGGGCGATACAACAGATTACATAGAAGTTCGCCAATAAGCAAGATCGACGATCTTTCGCTGCAAATGATAGGTCTTCATTCGGACGACCCGACGCTGAAAGCGAAGGGCGCCGAAAGCCGTGGCATCGTGGGATTCATCTTACAGGAGATGATGGTTTACGGCGAGGCCTTCAGAGATGCTGAAGTGCACGCTAGCCTGTTTGAGGCTGGCACCGCGTTGAAACAGTGGTATAGTATCGTAGCGGCTGAAAGCCGAGTAACCAGCATGAATGTGAAACAGGATATGATGACTCATTGCGTCAACCATTGCGTTCTGTATGGCGCAGGGGGGTTCCACTATCATCCGAAACACCACTTGTTCATTCACCTCACGATGAACATATGTCAGTCTGGCAACTGCAGGTTTCACACAACGTACGAGGATGAGACGCTCAATCTTTTGCTCCGCAATATTGGGCGAAAATGCCATCCAGACACGTTCGCAGAGTCAATGCTTGAGCGTTTGCTGGTCGGTGAGTCCTTGTAGACAAGGATCCTTTATCACTGCAAGTTTTTATGCTTGCAGTTTTGTCAGGGCCAGGCGACCCCTTTCAGGATCATCACCATCATCAACAACATCATCACCATCACCATTATCAACAGATCGTCGTCACTGACGTCACCTGTGCCCTCATGCTTGTCTTCGTGATGCCAGATTGCTGGCACTTTAAGTTTGCGTCGCTGAATTCCTTGACCCCCGTGTGCTGGTCAACTGGACCAGAGTGCGGCCTGAAGCGTTGCCCGCAGAAAACGAAAGGCACCGAAGACGGCACCAGAGGGCCTCCAAGACGGCACCACAAGGTTCCCAACAGAAGAACACAAACCGACAAGGCCCCAAGATGGCTCCACAAGTTTCCAAGACAACGCCACAAAGCACCACAGGGCTCCCAAGGGTCTCATGGGGGAGTGGAGGGGGTGTACGCGCGACTTCGCGAACGACGGCAACGGCCGACCCTGAAGATACCCAGACGAAGTTCTAAAGGCCCCCCTCAGACTCGCAACTGAACGAAGGCAGGAGGAGGAGAAGGACCAGGAGGAGGGGGAGGAGGAAGGAGGAGGAGGAGAAGAAGGAGAGATCGACAGTGAGATCGATCGTAAAATCGACGGTGAGATCCATAATGAGATCGATAATGAGATAATGAAATCGGCAATGAGATCGATAATAGTATCGATAGTAGAAAAACAACACCCCAATTTAAGTCTGGATCTAAAATTTAGGTCTAGATCTAAAATTTAGATCTAGATCTAAAATCCCGCGTTTCATAGGATAAACCTAAAATATGAGTCCAGAGCACCAAGATCAAAAATTTGAGGCGGATCCAGAATCTGATGCTGGGTGAAGCTCTGGGTACATATATAGTCGACGCCACGGCCCTCCTCCCTCTCCCTCTCCCCGCTCCCCCGCCTGGACTCGGGCCGGTCACCCAGCGACACCGGCGCGGGTCTCAGGGAGGCGCTGCGGCAGGAAGTGTTGGCCGCGTTGTGGCAGTTCTACGGCCGCCCGCCAGAGGGCGCCGCCCCCGGGGACGGCCGCGCGGCTGCCGACTGCAGCACCGAGCCGCAGGCCGCGTTCGTCGTCGTCCGTCGACCGTCGCCGTTTCGGTTCGCCGTCTTGGTCGTCGCCGTCGTCCGCCGCCGTCGTCTTCTTTTCGTCGTCCGTTGTCGTGGTCCGACGTCGTCGACGTTAGGCGTCTGCCGTCGTCGTGGTCTGTCGTCGTCGTCGGGGTCGTCGTCGTCGTCGTCGTCGTCGTCGTCGTCGTCGTCGTCGTCGTCGTCGTCGTCTGTTGCTGTGCATGGCGCGTTGTCGGGATCGTTGTCGTCGACATCCGTCGTTGCCATCCGTCGTTGTCCGTCGCGTTCGTGATCTTCGTCGTCGTCGTCGCCGCCATCGTCTGGCGTGGTCGTCGTCGTGGTGGCTGTCGTCGTTGTCGTCGAGCTGCACCTCTTCATCCCCCAAAGCCATCTTCCCTGCTCAGGCTTCGGCTTCCCATGGGTGTCTGGATACAGTAGTCCATAGTGGGGCCCGCTCACTAGGAAGAGAAGCCTGTTCGAAGCCTCTGGTCGATGTCGTGTGCACCTAATGCCAGGTGGCACCCTTGTCAGGAAAAATCGCTGACAATGAGCCACAAAAGGCAGATTTCTCTGAGGTAGGCCGTGTTCGACATGGCTGCCATGGCATTAGACGGAGGACAGGGCGAGGACCATGCAGGGGGATGGAGCGAAGTAGCCCAGTGGACCCAAGGAGGCCGCAACGGATGGTGCCATGGGTCGGGCAGAAGGGCCAGAAGAACCACCTGGATAGGGAAATTGCTATTTCGGACGCGCTAAGCCGCGACCTGCAGAGAAAGCAGGAGCCGCAAGTGCCCATCGAGATGTTATGCGATGCCCAAGCTGGGGCGCGGAGGTCTACGTCGTCGTCATCGTCGTCGTCGTCTCTCGTCGTCGTCGTCGTCGTCGTCTCTCGTCGTCATCGTCGTCGTCGTCGATTCTCTTCGTCGTCGTCGTCGATTCTCGTCGTCGTCGTCGATTCTCGTCGTCGACGTCTTCGTCGATTCTCGTCGTGGTTGGGCCCGTCGTTGCGGTCGTCGTGCTTCGCCCACTTCGTCCTTGTCGGCCCCGAGCTCATCCGGGGGCTCAATGCCTCGGCCGGTCGACCGCCCGCGGCGCCCGTGCGGGTGGGGGGGAGAAGCTGCGGCGCGGGGGCGCGGGGGGGGGCCTCGGCGGGGGGCGCGGGGGTGTGGGCAGAAGCAAGGGCGCCCTCGAGGGCGCGAAGTTATTCGCGCTTCGCGCTTCGGCTCCGGTTCCTCCTCATCCTCCTCTCCTCCGCTGGGGGGCGGCGCGAGAGCGCGAAGCTATTCGCGCAGCGCGAAGCGCGAAGCTGGGAGCCCTTAAGAAAGCTGTGCTGCCGAGGGCGGCGGCGTGCGTCGGCAAGGCAGGCGGAGCGGGCAGGGGGCTCAATCAGCGGCGAGGCGAAGTTCCGAAGAAACCTTCCGCGGGCCAGCCTGGGAACGAATCGGCGGGCCCCAAGCTGCAACTGCGCTGCGGTCCTGGTCCTGGCCTCCGGAGGCGCCACCCGCCCCTGGGCCGCTGAGAGAGCTGCGTGTTTTTGGAGGTCGGCTCCCGCGAAGTACTTCACGTCGGCGGCGAGCGAGGGGGGGGGGAAGTGAGAAGGAGGAGGCCCTCTCAGAAGGCTGCGAGGCTTCTCAGAGGCCCTCGGGCCTTCTGAGGGTTTTCTGTATCTTCGGGGAAGGCCCAGAAGACTTCTCAGATGGCCGGGTGACATCTGGGCCTTCTGAGAAGGCCCATCCCCTCTCCTTTCCCTCGGTAATTAGGCTCGCCGCCGAAGAAAGAAACACGGCACAAACATAAATGTTTGACGGTCCGAGCAGATTTTTTGGATGCGCACGGTTTTTTTTGGATTTGCGCCGGAGCGGGCAGATGGCTTCGATTCGGTCGGTTTGGTTGCGTCGCAGTCGGTCGCGTCTGGTCTGGCTTCGGTCGGCTATTGTATCGTTGCCGCGTCGCTGCTCCCTTCTAGGCTGCTTTCGTCGGCGGAGGCGAAATCCATACCGAAAAAATCAATGTGGAGATCTCGGTCTCCGCCTAGGCTTACTCCGTGTGGACTGAGCTTCTGCTGATTTCGGCCTGTCGAATTCGGTAGGTTTCGGTTTCGCTGTCGGTTCGGTCGGTTCTCGGCTTTGCCTCGAAGAAGAAACACGGCATAAGCATAAACTTGTGATGGTCCGCGCGGCTTTCTTGGATTTGCGCTGGATTCCCCGCCCCGGCGCGCGGAGCGCGCCAGGGGTGGCGCTGGAGGCGCCGCCAGGGAGGGCCCAGCGCAGATCCAAGAAATCTGGCAGACTATCAAAAGTTGATGCTTATGCCGTATTGCTCTTCTTCCATAGCCTCGATGGCTCAGCAGTCATAGCGCTCACAGGCCCCAAGGCTCCTCTGCAAGCTGCCAGAGGCGGTTCGTCAGTAGTGCTGGCGCGGTGCTGCGAAAAAACATCGTCGGTCAAGGTTGAAGCTTTCACATTGCAGCGAACGTGATGGGTACAAGGCGGCGGCCTGCGGCGGCAAGGCAGACAGCGGCAGAGGGCGCGGACCTGGGCAGAGACACATTGCAGCACGTCCCGATCCCTGAGACGAACAACAACAAAAAATTGAACCAACATAAACTCTCGGAGCTCCGCGCGGACTTCTTAGATCTGCGCTGGGCCCCCTCTGGTGGCGCCTCCGACGCCGCCGCTGGCGCGGTCCGCGTGCCGGGGAGGGGGGGCCCAGCGCGAATCCGAGAAACCCGCGCGGAGCTCCGAATGTCTATGTTTACGTTATGGTTCGTTCCTCCAAGAGCCACCCTGGAGCGTGCCTTGCTCCCTGAGGCTGGCATCGCCTCGTCTCTGTGCCGACTGCAAGGGCTCCCTGACTGCCTGAGGGTGCATCCCTGAGGCTGTCATCGCCCTGGGCTTGCCAATCTTAGAGATGTCGGCGTCACCCAGACATACTGATACTGTGTGTGCGTCGCCCCCAGGGGGCGACGCGCGCGCTCAGAAATCTGATTGCATGCGCTCCGTGGTGGGTGCGTGTGGCCATGCCGCCTGGGAAGCGATGTACTACAGGACTGCTGCATGCTATGATCTGGGCCGACGCGCGTCTCCAAGTGGGGCGCACAGTGCTAGTGTGTCCTTCTGCGTCCCAGGGGCTTGCCAATCTTAGGAATAGGGCAAAGCTCGAAGCTGGGCGTCGAGGAGCCCGTCAAGAGGCTGTTTTTGATTTCTCGGCTGGATTATCCGCCATGGGGAGGGGGGAAGGTGCCGGCCGGTAACCTGACCGTTTTCCATTTGGGCAGCCCCACGTATGCCCGCGTGCACCAAGACTGCGTACCCCCCTGGACCTGCGCAACAGACAGGGTCATGTTATTCGGGTGGAGGGAAAAGAGGCGGGCGGGCTCAATAGCACGGGTTATTTCTAGACCCTTAACAGCAGCCTCCAGAGAACCCCCGCCTATCGGGAAAATTGCGCGGCTCAAACCCGCCACCTTGGAGCTGGCTGGCGGCCTGAGGTGTCCCAGCACTGGTTCCGGCAAGCAGGAAGAGGGGACGGGTTCGAGGTGTGGCTTCGAACAAGTTTTTTGCTCTTTTGTCGGCCCCCAGGGGCCGTTCTCTGGCCCCGGGGAACTGAAACGCGGATCCAGGGTGAAAACCTACACCAGGATTGATTTGGAACAGATTTGGAAAAGAATTGGGGACTGATTTGGAAAAGATTTGGCCTCATCCCCCACTCCTGTCAAAGTTTCTGCGGTCCGATCCAATTCAGACCCTTGGCTGCCTCCAAGATCAGGGAGCGTCCACCTTTCGAGAAAATGGCTCGACTCAAAACCGCAATCCTGTGAGACTGACTCTTTGTGGTGAGAGCAAAGGTCGTGCAAGCACAACCTGCCCTATCCGGACGACCGCCGAAGAATAGAGACAAGCTCGCTGGATCATTCCTCGCCTCTGATGCGCGGTACGTTCCTCGTCCTCATCGTACCTGCGGGTGCTCCCCGCGCGGTGCTTCCCGCCGTTGCAACAGGAAACTCCTTCATCTGTGCGCCAGCTGCCACTTGCGCCACCACGTGAGCAAGAGAGAACCGCGTGTTCCTGCAGTCGTCAGTGCCTCTCGGTTGCCCCGACCGCGGCTTGGTCCCAAGCCGCTGCGACGAAAAGTGCTTGGAAGCTGAATCCGACATCCAGACGTCCCAAAACAATCAGTTATGGCGAGTTGTTGGTAGCTGAGTCCGACCTCCAACAACCTTGTAAATCAGCGGGCGCAGGCGAGCCGAAGCAGGTGCAGGCGCCGGTCGGGCAACGGGCGGGACGCGCCAGGAGCTAATTGAGGCACGGCGGAACGCGGGAAGGGAGGACGCGGAGAGGGGGCAAGCGCCGCGCACAACGTGAGGCACTTCTCGGGGACCGACCTCCAAAATCACTTCTCAAGTCAGCGGGCGCAAGAATGCGAACACGGTCAGGCGGCGGTCGGGCCGGGCGACCGCGCCGGCGGGAAGAGCGTAGGCCGGGGTTTCCTCGTGAGCTGTTTTTGCCCTCCTGGGGCCGCCACGTCGAAACAGCTGCCGTCGCAAGTCTCCTGCGAGGCACGGATCTGGGGAAGCTTCTCCTCCTCACGGGTCCCCTCTGGCCAGGCCTTCGAGGGGAGGCCAGCCGTGGCGACGAAGGCGCTCCAGGAGACCCGCTCAGAACGGGAAGCACAACTCGGGAGCCGACCTCCAAAAGCATGCAGCTCTCGCAGGCCCAGAGGCGGGTGGCGCTTCCGGAGGCCAGGACCGCAGCGCAGTTTCAGGTTTGGGCCCGCTGATGCTGTGCATTCTACATGTCTCGATCCTCCTGATATTAGGATGAGCCTGCCTGCTGATCCGCCATCCTGGCCTGAGCACAGTATGGCAGGGGTCCCTAGCCAAAAAACTCCTCCCTCCTTCCTCCTCCTCCCCTCCTCCTCCTTCCTCCCTCCTCCTCCTCCTCCACCTCCTCCTCCTCCTCCACCGCGGCCCCACGACTCGGACTCCAGATACGCCGCGGCTCCCCGAGGCGCGTCCCGCGGCGCACTCCGGCCACCACGCCCCTCGCCCGGCGCCGCGCCCCCCGTCGCGCGCCACCGCGAAGACCCGGCCTGCGCTGGTGGCTCTGTCCATCACCAACTTTTGGCCCGCCACGCCCGTCGGAAGCGCTGCCGCGAGCGAGGATATTACCAGAACGACGCCCATGCACCATACCACGTTCGGACCCCCTGAGGCCCCCGCTCCAGCGTAGTACGGCGCAAATGTTGTCGGCCCCGAGGGCCAGAACAGAAACTGTGCCCCGTACCATCATCACCCCGCCGATTCAGGGCGAGATATGGGCGAGATTCCTCAAGAAAGAAGCCGAGGAGGGGCCAGACGTGCCCTTCGACGATTTTCGTGGAGACCTCGTCGAAGGCCTCCGACGGCTGGCCAGCGTAATTAGCGCGACCGAATTTGGCCTCAGGCCGATTGCTCATATCAGCTTATTTCATATCATCGCATATCATAACATATCATGTCATCTCGCCTCACCTCATATCATCCCATATGATATCATACATGATCGTATCGTATCGTATCGTATCGTATCTTCTCTTCTCTTCTCTTCTCTTCTCTTCTCTTCTCTTCCCTTCCCTTCCCTTCCCTTCCCTTCCCTTCCCTTCCCTTCCCTTCCTCCTCCTACCTACCTCCCACCCACCTCCTCCTTCTCCCACCCACCTCCTTTTCTTCCTTCCTCCTCCTCCTCCTCCTCCTCCTCCTCCTCCTCCTCCTCCTCCTCCTCCTCCTTTCCTCTCCTCCTCCTCCTCCTCCTCCTCCTCCTCCTCCTCTTCCTTCTCCTTCGGGCTTCGGACCTCGGGCCTTTGGTCCACTCCAGGAGCTGTAACCCTCGCCCTCGCCCCCGCCCCCCCTTCGCCCAGTAGCAGAGCATCGCCAGGGGGCGAGGCAGGCGCTTGTGAACGCGGACGGCACATCAGCCAAAAGTGGGGTGGGGGGGGCTTCCTCGGAGGAGAGGGCGACCGCTGGCAGGGCGATACGAGGAGGTGCGACAGGAGGAGGAAGGGAGACAGGGAGAAGGGGAGGAGCCAGGGGGGAGCAGCAGGCACGACGGAGGAGGACGGGAGAGAGGAGGGAGCCCACCCTAGGGACCCCTCCCCCAACAAAAACCCTAGGGACCCCCCCCCGAAAAAACAGGGCCCCCCTCAAAAAAAGCGGTACCAACGCATCCGACGCCCACCATAGGGACCCCCCCCCCAAAAAAAAAACAGGGGGAGGGCTCTGTAAGGCGGCTTGGGCGGTCCTGTAGCTAGTCTCGCTCGTTGCCTGTGGTGTCCCTCCGCCCGGCGTCCCCTCTCCTGATCACTTCTGCCCTCCTCCCCCCCGCCTCTTCCCGCGGGATTGGGCCTGGCCGCGTGCGGGGCGGCACGCTTCCCTCTGGGTGTGTGGAGCGCGCCTGGTAGTGGCGAATGGGGAGAAAAGGGCGTGGAAAGTGTGTGTGTGTGTGTTGTGTGTGTGTGTGACTTCTTCTGATCTTTTCGCACCCATCTCAGGCCAGTGCCTGGGGTGGTCCCACCTGCCTGGGAAGCGCGGTCTCCTGCTTGTCGCACCCGACGGGGTGGTCCCACCTGCCTGGGAAGCGCGCCCGGTGCCTTGGAGACCCCCCAGGAGGACAGCCGCGCCTGTACAGCATGGCTCGGCGCCACGGGGCGCAGGGGCTGAGTCAGAGGGCAAGCCGAGAGGAGTACAGTCAGCACTGATATGAAGGATGCGCGACTTTCCAAGGCTTCCCTTGAACCCTTTCCCTGTGGCACATCCTGGGCCACTTTCGTTGGCCGCGCCCCGCTCGAGGCATGGCCTTCTAAGGCCCTTGCATCCTTGTCGTGGATCCTGCCTATCAGTTATTGTAGGTGGAGGGGGGCTGAGCGCGGCGCGGCGGCTGGGCGGGCGAGCGCTGGCGCGCAGGCGCTCAGGGCCCGGGGCCCGTGCCGGGGATAACCGAGAGTTGGCACCTGGCGCTTGAGGTCCGCGGGCATGCCGGTGATGTGCTCCATCGCGGCTCAGTCTCAGCCTCTCTGGTCCTCCTGCGAGCCCTCTCGAAGGCGCGTTTGCTCGGTCCGGTCTGGTCGCCAGGCGCGGCCCCCATCTTGATCAGCGGGCTGAAGTGGCTCTGCGTCCCTCCCCTGCACAGGACGACCTCGAAGTCATCAGGGGTTGTTGCCTCGGGTAGGTGGGTAGGTGGGCGCTGTCCTCACTTTGAAACATGATGGCGACATTGAACACTTGGTTTCACAATCTGGCGCCGTGGAGGCGGTCCACTGCCCAATGGGCGGGTTCGGCGGAGGATTATCGCACGGTGACCTGTCCGCCTCTGGTGTCAAGTGCTCTGCTAGGGGCCGAACATGGAGAATGTGGCCTGGATGCCAGACATGTCGATGGCACCGTGCTGATTGTCTACGATGATTGTTCGCCGCAGTACGTGGGCGCCCCCTCCCCGCGCAGGACGAGTCATCAGTCATCGGGCCTTGCTCCGCTATAAGGGTTCTCTCGTGGACGGTGCGCTCGCCCTGGCCCTCCGGAAGCAGGCCACTGCCGACGGCCCCCGTGCGGGGAGGACTGGCTGGCGAGGCCAGTCCACTACGCCCTGTTGTCTCAGGAGGTGCGCGCCCTCCCCTGCACAGGGCGACTTGACGGACACCAGGGGTCGCTGCGCTGGTGCGGCCTGTGCTGTCTCCTTCAGGTCCCTCTCGGAGCAGGCGCTGACGCCGGGGTCGGCCTAGGCGTGGTCCTTGTAGCCGTGGTTGCCCAAGTAGTTGTAGGCGCTGTGGCCGGAGGAGCAGCGGACGTGGTAGCAGCGTGGCGTCCCTGCAGCGGTCTTTCTGGGCGCCCTCGTTCCCGGTGCCAGCTGCGCGGGTCTCGCTGCGGTCCGGCTGCTCGGCTGCCGGTTGGGCCCCCCAGTCGGCGAGGAGCTTGGCCTCAGGTCTCGACTCGGGCGTGCGATGCTGGACGTTCTGCTACTAGTCCTTCCACATTGCGAACTCGTGCCTCAAAGCTTGTACGCGTCCCTTCTAGAGGTGCAGATGCTCATTGATCCAGTCCCACATGGCCGTCTGGCGGGCTTTGCTGGCTACTCGCATCGTCTTATGTCACGGGTTGACTGGTTTCTCGAAATCGCAGCTGTCAAATTGCATCGATGGCTGCGCCCTCCGCGGGGGTGCGCCCTGCCAACACTGGTACATTCTGGCCATCGCGCGCCGCTTCGGATGCCCTGTGCGACAAAGGGGGGCTCGGGCGATCGCGCCTTCCTCCTCCGCACCATCTCCCCTCTCCCTGCCCTCCTCCCGCACGCGGCGCATGGCAACACAGTATAGCCTCACCGACGTCGTCCTCGCCCTCGTCCTAATCCTGACCCGTGCCTTTCCGTTCGCCGATCCCCAGCTTCCCGTCCCTCCTCCGTTTCCTCCTTGTCCACGTCTTCGCCCTTGTCCTGTCAAGGAGGTGGGCGAGAACGACGAGGACGACGAGGACTAGGACTAGGACGACGACGACGACGACGACGACCATGACGACGAGGACGAAAGCAACGGCGACCACGACGACGAGCACGAGCACGAGCACGAGCACGAGCACGAGCCCCCCGCCCCGCATAGGCGGACGCGCCCGCCCAGCTGCTGCCGCAGAGACTGCCGCACGAGGCCGACGACCCCGCGGCTGGGCAAGCGAGGGCGCTGGAGCCGTCGGCAGGCGAAGGGCGAGGGCGGTCGAAAGGGTTAGGAAGAGAAGAAGTCTGCTCCACAGCGTTCCGGAACGCTCGGAGAAGCCCGCGGCGACCGAGACATCCTCCAGAGCCGCCGGATCTCAGAGATTCCCGATTTCTCTTCACCTGATTTTGTTCCTCTGCCTGGTTTCGTCTTTAGGAGGGCGGCGGCAGGCGCCGCCAGAGTTCGGCGGTCACAATGGCTGTAGGTTACGCTGGGGTGTGGTTTGCGATCGGCGCCGTCAGGACTTATGGAACTTATGGAGTCCCGCGTCGCTCCAAAGGTTTGGCGAGCCCTCGTCGGGGCGTGGCAGAGATCTCTGTCGATGTTCACGCCCGCCCCGACCCCCCAGGCGCTGGATGCAAACCACACGTCCCGGAGCCGCCGAAGAGTGACGACGCACGGCTCGACGAGCATACAGTCAAGGCTTGGAGCCGGCTGGGGGTCTGAGATGGCCCAGCATTGGTTCCAGCGAGCAGGAAGGAGGGGAAGAGGTTCTGGGGGCTGTTTTCGGGCCCGGGGACGCCGGGGACTCAAAAACAGACCCGGGGTGAAAAATTGCATCAGATGGTGGACCCCGGGAGGATTCCGGGAACAGATTCCGGGAACAGGACACCTTTCTCCCACCATCTTAACCAATGTTCTCGGGGCCCAACCAGCTCGGACCCCCAGCCGCCTCCAAGGCAAGGCGCTTAAGCAAGGGCCATTTGGGGCTCAGGAGGTTCCCTGGTTTTCGGGCTGGTCCTCGGGTCCCGGTCGGGGAGCCTCTTCGTGGCCGAGGCTCGCTGTGGCGGCGCGGCGCGAACATACGGTCAAGGCGCTGAGATAAGGGCCACTTTGGGCTCGGGAGCTGCTCCGGTGTTCGGGCCGATCCACAGATGCAGGTCGGGGAGCCTCTTCCTGGGCGAGGCTCGCCGTGGCCCCTGCGTTCCTTGCTCTCTCTGCGCTGTAGCACGATGGCAGCAACGGCGACCGGCACCAGCACAAATTTTCGGAGGTCTCCGCGGGCCTCCGAGAGTCTGTGCCCGTGCCGTTTCCTTGTCCTTCCGGTCCTCGGGCCAGCTTTGGGTCCCCCTTGGGGGGCCCTCGGGGGGACCTCGGGGGGCGGGGGGCCTGGGGGGGGCCTCGGAGAATCGGAGAGCTCGGGGGGACTGGGAAGAGGGCCTTCGGGGCTCAGTGGGGGACTTCGGGCGGGCCCTCGGGGGGGGACCTCGGGAGGGGACCTGGGGGGCCTCGGAGAATCGGAGAGCTCCGGGGGACTCTGAGGAGAGGGCCTTCGGGGGTCAGTCGGGGACTTAGGCGTGCTCTCGGGAGGGACCTCGTGGGGGGGATGAGGATGAGGATGAAATTCTAGACGCTCCGCGTATCCCCATCCAGAAACGATGTCCAGGCGAGTTGAGAGGTGATCAGGGAAGTGCGGGAGCAAAGAGGGGGACTGCCGAACCGTGTGAAGGAGAGAGGGGGGGGCGAAGGAGAAAATTGGATGAGGGAGTAGGGAGAAGGAGGATGAATAGGATGAGGAGGAGGAGGCGGAGGGGGAGGAGGAGGATGAGAAGGGATAGGAGGAGGAAGGAGGAGGAGGAGGAGAGCAAGCAAGAGGGCCAGAGGTCTCTTGGATGCTGCTCGGAGCCTCTTGGGGTATCTCTTGGGCGTCTTGGGACGTCTCCGGGGTCTCTTGGCGGTTGTGGGGGGCTCTTCGGCGTCTTGGGTGCCTCGGGGGGGCCTCTTGGGGCCGCTTGAGATCCTTTTGGGGGCCTCCTGGAGGCCTCTTGGGGGCCTCTTGGGGCCATCTTGGGGCCATCTTGGGACCTCTTGGGGCCTCCTGGGCGCTTCTTGGGGCTATCTTGGAGGAGATCGATCAAACAAGAGGGGAGCTTCAATTAGCGTCCCCCCCCCAAGAGGCCAAAATGGGGCCAAAACCTTAGTGAAACCAGTGATTTTGGCTTCCTCGCCGAGGCCGTTTTGGACGCTCCGACACCTCGCGGAACGCCCTGTCCAGGTCCAGGGGTGGAAGAGGAATTTCCCTAAACCACCTACGCCCAGAGGGCTGGTGGGACTGAGGATGAGGATGAGGATGAGGATGGTGCTGGTGCCAGTGCTGGTGCTGGTGCTGGTGCTGGCAGCAGCGGCATCAGCAGCAGCAGCGGCGGCGGCGGCGGCGGCGGCGGTGGCGGCGGCGGCAGCAGCGAGGCCATCCTCGGCGCCCCCCGAGGCGGGCAGGACGCCCCGCCACCGATTGGCGCTGCCTGGCAACGTCCCCGCGCGGCGAGCCCGGGGTGCCCAGCGAGCCTGGCGAGCCTGGCGCCAGCGCGGCTGGGGGACCTCGAGCAGGACCGCTTCGGGAGAGTTCGACGTGAAGGAAACTGGTCCTGATCGGACGTGGCTTGGACGAGTGTAACTCTGCTCCAGAACGTTCGGGGACGCTCAGAGCGTTCCAGCTCGCTCTGAGAAGGCCGCGGCACCCGAGACATTTTCCAGAGCCGCCGGACCTCGAGCAGGACAGCCCAAGGAGAGTTCGACGTTAAGATTAGGTCGCCCGTGGGGGCGCGAAGATAATTGCACTTCGCGCATCGCAGTAGGCAAGCGGCAATAGACAAGATAGCAGCGATAATCTAGTAGACTCGAGCAGCCCAGCAGTCAGGTCACAGCGCAATCGGTTCCCCGCAACACCTCGCCACCACCACTCTCGCCACCATGATCATAATCAGCATCGCCCTGAACTTCCGTAGCCATGTAAGTCCAACGGGTCACAAGAAAGCGGGCACGTCACAAGAAAGCAGACCGTCCCGCATCACTGCGTGGATGCACGCAGCGCGTATCTATGTCGTGGTTGCCCTGTGCTGACCGACTGGCTCAAGGGGTGCCCGCGACGATTCATTGCATGCCCGCATGCAGCTGGCAGCCAGACAAAATTCCGCGACGGTGCCCCGCGGCCTCCATGACAAAAAGGCGAGAAAGAGGTCGACGCCGCGGGCCGAGAGTGAGAATGAGAGGATGGGGCCCACAATGTCTACAAGGAGGCCTACAATGTCTCCCATGCAAAGCCTGATTGGCTGTGACAGGAGACTGTGCCCGTCGTGTCGGGGTTCGGCAGGTACAGCCAGGAAATGTGCGAGAAGCAACCGACGAAAGAGGAGACCAGGAACAAATGACAACTGGTTAAGTTGCCTGTACTGGTGTGCCCCAGTCATGGTCCCTTCTGTCAGTCTCAGTGCTGCATGCCCATTGTTGTACTGGTTATCCAGCAGTGCAGTGCGCAAAGATTCTTCAACATCTCGTACTCAGCTATGCTGGTTTCTTCATTGCTAATTGGATCATTATGTACAATCTGAATCCTGACTCGTCTCCCCGTGAGGTAGTCGGCAAGTAGCTCACGTTAAGAGAGACCGCTGTGACCACCGTGAATTCGGAACCCACCATGATGCTCTTGATAGTGGCAACATGCGGCGTAGTGTTTCGAGTCCATGCCAATGTGCCTTACGATGAGGCGAAGCCTTCTGAAGCCCCAGCACCAGCTGCAGAGGAGGCGAAGCCAGAGGCCGCACTGGCAACGACCACGGATGAGGCGAAGTTGACTGATGCCCCGCGCCAGCAGCCGCGGAGGTGCAGCCCGCTGTGGCTGCTGCGCCAGCAGAAGAGGAAGCGAAGGCGGAGTCCGCACCTGCAGCGCTCACTGAGGAGGTGATGTCAGCTGAGGCTGCCGCTTGGGCCACCACCAAGCCCGCGGACATATACATGAATCTGAACCGACCCATCAGTGACGTGATGGTTCGTTTCGTAGCGCAGTCGTTCCTGATGTGGTACTACTGCGCTGCGTTGTGGAGAGGCGTCAGGGAAAACTGAACAACGTGCGCGTGGAACCCGCCCCCCCCGCCCACGCAAATTTTGGGTCTGCGGGTTGCGTTGGGGTGGTCTACCGGAGAAGACTGACAAGATGCAGTCTGCGTGCGTTCGTTTGCGCTACCGCGGGTCGTGCCCGCCCCCGCGCCCTGTCGAGGGCTGCGCAGCAGCGCCGCCACCGCGACGCGACCGTGGCGCGGCACGGCTGTGGCGACGTCTCTTGCTTGGCAGGTTTTCCGAGGCGTTCCAAAGTCCTCTCGCGAGGCTATTCAGAGGCACGGGGCCGTCTTCGGGGTCTTCGAAGGGATCGGCTCGAGATATTCGGCTCGAGGTTCGCAGTTCTCGGGCGTTTTTGGCGGGTTCTCGGCGGCTTTTCCAGCCTCGGCCAGATTGTTTCAAACGCGGCCGCCGGAGAGCAGACGCTTGCATCCGAAAGCCGTTGGTTGCCCTGACCGTTCTGGGAGTTTCGGGGTCGTCTTGGGTTTGTTCTGGGCAGTTTCGGGGGGGGCGTTTCAGACGGCCTCCTGGATCATTGCAGCGCTTCTCCAGAGCGGCGTGGAGGCCATCCAGGGCCGACGAGTTAGTCACCTTTAGCCATCCATGTCGTTTACCAACTGGTGTTACAGGGGCGCCCTGGAGGTGCTTCTGGTTGCTCAGAGTCTTGAGGAGGGTTCTGGGGCCGCATCGACTGGTCTGGATGAGGGTTGCGAGCCGACTGTATTCTTCACGTAAGGTTCATAGTAACTTGCCAGAGTCGTCAGCGCTTCTCTGTGGCTATGATGGTAGGCCTCAGAGCGCGAGTATGCGCTTCGTTATGAGGGCGCGGGGCTAGCGCCCACGGCGTTGAGTACAGCATGTGCCCCAGTGCGCGTTGGTGCAGCGCTGCGGCGCGCAAGGAACCCAAAGCTGTCGTGGCTGGCCGAGAGCCGCTCTGCCATTCCATATCGCGGCACCTGGCAGCGCTGCAGCAGCGCCGATCGCAACATCGTCAACTGCAGGGTTGATTCGCTCGGTCACGGTTCACCGGGACGGCGAGGCAACGCTTTGCAGACGCGCGCTTTTCCTGGCCCAGCTCGGGATTGCAGGGCGCCGCACTTTCGCACGCGCGTGCACGCTGCGTTTCCCGTGCTGGCCGAGGGCCAGCCCATCTTTCCAAATGACGGCGCGGGGGGGAGATGCCGGCAGCGAATTGCGAGCGCCGTAGAAGCGTGAACAACATTTTCTACCGCGCGTTTTCAGGTAGTCTATCTTATGACCAGAACCTGGGGTTGCCCTTCGGTGTCCGCGAGGCCGTTTTAAGCCCGTCGCGGGCTTTCTGGAGCTGGGGTTTGGCGCGGTTTGGATCGCACCCTCCGCCGGGTGCACTGGGGGGCTTTCGAGGGCGCAAGCGCTTTGCCGAAGCGCCGCCGGGCTTCTTGCGCAATGCGCCGCTTGTTGGACATCGAACGCAAGCGCCGTCGAGACTGGGTGCATTTCGCGGGGTGGCCGTTGAACATTATTAATTCTAAAGAATAATTATTGTTGGGACCCCTGGTGCACGGCCCCCCTGCGCCGCCTAGGCCGCAGCTACATTTTCATCATTTTCGTGAGGAAGCCTCAGGTAATACGATGTCATCAAGATCCGGTTGTTTTGTTGTAATCCGTTTCCCTTGCAAAAAACACTATAAAATGACATTTCTTGTTCTAATATAATCAAATTTCAAGAATCCCTTGCAAAAAATAAGGTAAAGTGGACATTCGCGCGCGCAAGACGAAATCCTTCCAAAAGCTTAGTGTTCGGAACGATTTTAACATAAAAACATCAAAAAACCAATGGTTTTTCAACAAAAAAATGTCAAAATCTCATCCCGCGCGCTCTTGCGGATTCGTAGGAAACCCAACACTTTTTAAACATTTCTGTCAAACGGGCTTTTGCGAGCAACTTTTTCGAACTTCTGCGACAACGGTTGCGCACCTGCCAGGGCCATCATCCCTGTCAAATAATACCATGCGGGACACATTCGTTTTTTCTTCGCGCGCGCACGCCGAAATCTCCAAAAACCATTGGGCTTCTTAAGAATTTTAGCACCGCGCATCATAAAATCACACGAATCGCACAGGTCTTAACAACACTGTGGGTTAACTAGGCTTAACAACTTCTGTGGGTGTGTACTCCACGCCAGTGTAGTAGCCACGGTCGTCCGCAGGCCACGAAGTGAAGTGTCCGAACGTCATAGGGCGGGAAGCTGGGTGTGGGTGGTGGCGACGAGTCGTGTGGATATTTGGTAGAGCTTGCACTGCCCCCCCACATAGTGGGGGTATTGGCTGGCGTCGCATGAAAACCCTGGCACTGGTGAGAACACTGAGCGTTCGGGTAAAGTGATTGTTGTTGTTGTTGTTGTTGCTGTTGTCTCGTAGGGTGCGCGGCGCAGTTCCCCATGCTGCAAGCGCGGTGGCGGGTCGTTCTGTTCGCGCCACCGTGTTTGCAAGGCGTACTTCGGGCTGCGCTGGGAAAAGATTTCCCCGCTAATATCGAGTCGTGGAAGAAGCTCGTAGACTCGCAATTTTACGGTCGCAGGCCTGGAAAAGGTCGCTGAGGCAAGCCACTTTGAGAACAATATGCGCGCAGCCATGGGCTTTCTATTGAACCAGGTATACTCAGGGATGATTCTCTTCACTATCCACGCGATGTTATTCCATTTTAATTGCCTTGACTTAGTAACACCTATGTCCTCTGAGGCCTTCATCGCGATGCTCGGCGACGAAACTGATGACGTCGCAGAGCTTCAGGCCATTGGCGACGGGGGCGACGAAGAGAAGACATCGTCGTCATGATAGAAGTAGCTTGCCGCTTCGGACTCCGCCAACAAGAAGGCCGAGCCACGATTCTCTTGCAGTCTGATTTAGCCAAGCTCAAGCTCAAGCTTGGCTCAGGTGCCTTCCCATCCAGCTTGCCATGTAGCTTGCAGCTTACAGCCCGCATCTTACTTCACGGCTGCTCGCGTTCCTCCAGATTTGGGAGCAGAGTTGGAGCATGCCCCGGCGCCCCCGCCTGCGTCAAAGCATACTCGCGCGGCCGGCGCCCCCGCCAAGGGCGCTCTGCAAAATTGGGGGGGTGGGCGCGGAGAAGATGGCGCGTGCTGGGCATGGCCCAAATGCCCCCTTCGCCCCATTGCTCGGAGACGCGAGCGCGCAGCGCGAGGGGAGGGGGGGGGGGGGGGGGGGGCGGGCAGCGCGGGGCGCGCCCGCGCGGCAGCAGAGGAGGAGGAGGAAGGAGGAGGAGGAAGGAGGAGGAGGAGGAGGAGGAGGAGGGCGACGACGACGACGAGGAGCTCATTCAGGAGACGCCCCACGGGGAGCACGTCACCGCGCTGGGAGTCGCGAACCTCCTGAGGGAGCGGCCGGGCCCCATGACCACTGCGGTGGATGGCCTCCGCGGCGACTTCTCCAAGCTGAACGCGCGCCTTGACCAGATGGAGCAGCGCCTGGACATGGGCGACGTGCGGGTTGATAAGC